TAGAATAGTCTTATACACATAAAAAAATACCAAGGTTACGAATTTTCATACGCCAACGACCCAAGTTTAATCGGCAATGGCCAATAAATTCTACTGGATCCAGCACAAATCATTCTCCGTTTTCATATCGGCAAAACAAAAGCAAAATTTTTCTGCCTACACCAGCGTTTTGACTTGTCGATTGGGACCTGGATTTGAAAATAAGATCAATATTTTCGTGATCTCTTTCCTCTGTCTCGCCAATTGACTTTCACTTTGTATGAGGCTGCGTTTAGCTGAAGACACTAAGCAAAGCTAAAGGTCACTATCGAATGGGCCGTTTAGGACAGGGATCCATCACAACAGCCTCATTTTTTACCTGTCCACACTAAAACGATGCATCTTCACAAGTACCATTTTTGAAATCAATTTTCGAAAACAATTTAAAAGGTATGTGTTCAAATGAAATCGCAGCAGTGAGGTAAGGGCCTTGGAATGTAGTTGAGGCAAGCGGCCCCTTCAGTCGGAGCTTTTCCCGTTTCTGTAGAATGAAGTGTCTAGCTAAATCCCCACCCCCCCACCCAAGGTTGAGATGCTAGTCCAGTACAGACTCCTCTCCACAAAAGTTCATCAAGCTTCCCTGACAATTCACTGTTACCCATTCCTACTCCTGAGTTGAAAGAGGCACTGTGAGAGTAAAGTGTTTTGCTCAAGAACTCAACACAGTGGCCCATCTTGGGCTCAAGCCAGGCGCTAATGAGGCGGATTCTGGTGAGCTAAACTGCTAGGCCACTGCAACCCTCCCCTTGCTCAAAAAAAAATTGGGGTGGGCATGTTCTAGCAGTATTAAAAGAATTGTGGTTTCTATAAATGAAAAGTTTGCAGGGTACTAGCAAAGCTGTTAATTTAGAAAAAATTATTGCCAGATATTGGTTCAAAAGACCATTTTCGATATATCAAAATTCAAACTTGGCTCCAGGCCTGGGGGAATTGCCAGGCTTGAGTTGTAGTTTTACAGTCATGTGATGCACATGTACATGTCTGTGTGCTTTTACAGCGTTCATTGCCCTCTATTATTTAAATAAGGCATGAAATAAAACTCCCTAAGAAAACAGAGACAGCAGATTCAGCTGGACACAGACCTGTCCAACTTTGTCTGCAACAACTGTGGGAGAAACTGGGCTCCTAAGCCAAGCATGGCATGGACAACAAGACCAAACTTAGCATTTCTCATACTCTTTCAAGACAAAAGAATGGCTATCATTCAAACAAAATTGCCTCTTCATTTTC